ACGGGGCTTCCTAGAAGGCGCTGGGCTCCCGCGGGGCTGCGAGCTCCGGTCCTGCCGTCACGGGCATGGTCCTCGGTGGCGGGCGCCAGGACGCGGCCGCGTTACAAGGGCCGCCGCATCCCGCTCCCGCTGCCATCCCGGACGCTGGGCAGGGCTGGCCGGACGGCGGCACCGGGGACTCGCCTCATCTTCCCGACGGGATCTGCAGTGGGATGGAGAAACCAGAGAGGTTGTGAGCTGGGGCGGCTGGAGCAGGAGAGCTCCGAAGGCCGCATGGAACATTTTGCCCGTGGCAGAATTTGCTGATGGAAGCGCTTTTTCTCCCTGGGAAGCTATTTCTGGGTACTTCTTAGCAACATAAGCCGAAAAAAAAAGAGATGACAGAAGAGCTCCACCTACGGATTACTGGGAATGACTGTCGGGACAGGCTCCGAGTGTGTCCCAGGAGGGAGGACTCCCGCTGTCCTCATCCCTGCTCTCTCTCCAGCTCCCCAGCTGCTCACAGGTGGCTGGGCAGCATGGCGAGGTCCAGGTCTGCCTTGGGATTTCCTAAGATTTTGGAGGATGCACAAGGCAGGTGCAGGTTGGGGCCGGCCAGCTGCACCTGGAGCTGGAGAACCGAGCTCCAGCTTGGAAACAGAGGGCAGGGATGGGAAAGGGGGCTCCTCCTGGCACTCCCGCACTGCCATGGGCAGGAAGGAGCACGCCAGAAGGCCCAGGGCAGCTGCCAGTGATGCTGGGAGCCCCTGGGTGCATTTATTTTTTAAAAAGTACATTTTCCTTTTAAAAGTTTCTCCTCAATACCTAAAAACGCCTCTCTGGTGCCTGCAAGCCCCACACTGCCGCAAGGGGGCAAGAGACATGGGGCAAAGAGCAGGGGAAACCACCAGGCTGCAAATAAATTGTGCAAATCAGCTCATTTGAGTGGTGGTGACTGTCACTCCTACAGCTAATCTCTCCTGATTTCCCTTTATGCCAGTGCCCGCTCCATGCTGCACCGACCAGCCATTCAGAAAGGTCTGGAGAGAAAATGAGGAATCCTGCAGGAAGATGAGAGAAGCTGCAGATTTAATGGAGCTGGTGTAAGGATTTGGGAGCTCTGCAGCATCCCTGCACTCCTGGCTGCAGTGAGGAAGCTTTGCACATGCCGTGCCATTCCCAGCGCATGGAATATGCACACAGGGCTCGGACTCGCTGCTGCAACATCTATGTATTAATAATATAACACACAGCAATGTGTCTATACGCAGGTCTATATGTCCAGACAAGCTTTGCTCCGGCCGCTTCTCTCCCTGCCTATCAAGCCTCCGTCGGGAGCGGACGGTCTCCAATTCCTCCGTGCCATCACACTCAACTCGGCGAAACGAACACGGGCCCGACCCTATCGCTCTTGCCCCCGGCGCGCTGGCCAAAGCCAACACGCGGCCCTTTGGCATGCCCGGAGCGAGCGGCAAGACAATGCGCCGCTTATGCCGCTCGGAGCCACGACTGCAAAGCCTGTTTACTGCTGTTTAAACTCGCAAAGGCTCCTGGCCAAGATAAAATAACCAAGGCCAGCGCTAGTTACATTATCACAGTCGTGCTCTTTCAGCCACATAAAGGAGCCATTTTTGAAGGAAAGGCTCATTTGTGTATCCTAAAAGCTGCAGCATTTGCATGGCGAGGGCCGGCTGAGCTGTTGCATTATTGCTTGGTGCCAGGAGAAATAAACCCCAGGCTTCCTGCGCTGGCAGCGGCTCTCGGAGCCGCTCGAGTTCAGAGCAGCGGAGCCGGCGGCGCGCGGCCGTGTCCCCGCGCTGGCTGTGAAAGCGGCTTGCGGGGACACGGGGACAGCGTGGGCTCCGGGGCCGTGCTCAGCCAGTGCAGTAGAGCAGGCTGAGCATTTCAATTTATTATATTTATTTTAAATACGCCCTAGGCTGCATCTGTTGCGCTCCCTGATCCAGCCCAAACACAGCTTCCCCCTCAGGGGATGGGAAAACCAGAATAAAATGGAAATAGGGACAATTTCCCCTTTTTTGTTTCCCTTTTTTTTTTTTTTAAAGGAGAAATGGCTTAAGCCTCTCCACCTGCCCATTTGCTTCTCCCTCCCCTGGTGCCAGGTGAGAAGGGACGGGGCCAACGCAAGGGTATGTTTTTTTAAAAAAAGAACCTTATGTTTATGAAGCGGTGGCGCTGCTGGGATGAACAGCTGTGCAAAATGCAAATAGAAAAAGAATAAAAGCAAAAAGAAATGGGCCACCGGCTGCCGCAGCAGAGCAGGAGGAGAGGGCCGAGCGCCCGGCTCGCGCACGGGGAACTCCGTCGTGCTCCAAGCGCGGCTCCCGGCCCCTTCCCGCCCGGCTGCGTTGCACAACACGCTGCAGAAATCCGCGCTGCTGGGATGAACAGCTGTGCAAAATGCAAATAGAAAAAGAATAAAAGCAAAAAGAAATGGGCCACCGGCTGCCGCAGCAGAGCAGGAGGAGAGGGCCGAGCGCCCGGCTCGCGCACGGGGAACTCCGTCGTGCTCCAAGCGCGGCTCCCGGCCCCTTCCCGCCCGGCTGCGTTGCACAACACGCTGCAGAAATCCCGTCCATCCGCCGCGGGGAGGCGGCGGGCGGCCTTGCTGCGGGATTTGGGAGCCCTGGGTTCAACTCCTGGCCGCGCGGCTCCCTTCTGCCGCCGCTCGCTTCCACCTCCCATGAAATATGGATTTCTTGGCTGCAAAGGAAATGGGGAAGAATGTCAGGAATCTGCGCTTGGCTTGGCCGCCGGCACCGCGGCTTGCAGTGGCTCTCGGTGAAAAAAAAAGGAGGTTCTGGCCCCAAAAAGCATCACCACAGCTCCCTGTGCCTGCAACCACTGGTTCCTGAGAGCCAAAGTCCTCCCGAAGCCACTGGGAATCTCCCATCTGCTCTGGGAGCGGAGCAGGAGCTGAGGGACTTGGTGAAGATGCTCGGTGCTCCCCAACAGTTAATAACCCGCATGGGCAAAGCCAGGACCATTTCTTAATCCCTGTCCACCAGTAACACGTTGCAAGGCTGGAAATGCTTTCATGGAGCACACGCATGCACACACACATGCACACGCGTGCACACGCATGCACACGTGCTCTCTTTTGGATGGTTCGCCCTGGCTGCAGGGACAGGCAGCATGGGCAGAGGTTGCTTCCAGCAGATTTTTCCAGCCAGCGGAGAGGTTGGAAGGTGACGCAGAAGTTTGCTTCTCGCTCACGATGGCCCAGAACTGATGTTCTGGATCTCAGCAGCTTTGAAGTTCCAAGCTGAGGGGGGATCCAGTGTTTGCTCCGGATCCAGAGTGTTGCAAACAGCCCTAATCCTGGTCGGGCTGCTCATGGAAAATGAGCTCACACCGAAAAACGACCTGAGCCCTCAGTGGTGCCTGGAGTGGGGTTTGCAGGGAGCACCCGGCGCCGTGTCCCGGGAAACCCTGCGCTTCCCAGCTCGAGAAGATGTGGAAACAGCTCAATCCCACCTGGACCCTTGCAGGGCCATGCTGCAAGCAAGGATGGACCAAGGCGACCTGGCAAAGCGAATCCTGTAATTCCTGGGAGCCGCTGCGCTGGGCGCCTCGGAGCCCACGCGCTTTGCAGTCACCAGGTGTAAATCCACCCGGATGGCTCCGCTCGCACCCCCGGCCTCAGCCAGCACCAGCGGAGCCTTTTCCAAAGGACGTGGCTGAGGATAAATAGCATGTGGCACGTGCGCATTTGAGGCCTGGAAAGCAACGGGCCGCGCTCCTCCTCCGGCGGGAGGAAGGTCGCGGGTGCACGGCCACAAGCACGCGGCGCTCGCGACTGTCCCCAACTGGGCACCTCCTGCCACAGGGGCCGCGCTGGCCCTTCCAAGTCGCCTGTCACCAGGGTCCAGTTTCCTTAAAAACCAGGGGAGTGACACACGGGCACCTCCCCTGCTCCCGCTGGCCGAGCCGCCGTCTCCAAAGTGCTGTTAATCTCCCCTGGGAATCAGCAGAGGGGCTGGGACCGACAGCACCAGCTTTGTAGGGCTGTAATAAAGCATGACTTATT